GGATACAAAAGAAAAGAGCTCTGCATGGACACACACACACACACGCTTGTTTCATTTTGCTTTTGAATTTACTAAACGAAGATCTTGGTGAAAAGCCTCACTCAAGAAAATAGTAAGTAACTAGACAGGAAGGTGAAGAAAGCTTTCTTTCTCTTCCTCTCTCTGAAATCTTCCAGTTGGGCCTTCACACTCTGCTCCCCGCCTCCCCACTAAAGCGTGTCAAGTAACTATACTCACCTCCATCACTTTCTCAGCTGACAGTTTCTTCAGTGCTTTGGGGGGGGGGGTGGCTTTCAGAACAAATGGCCAAGCAGGGGCTGGGTCAGTGTTCAGAACTCTGCTCGGTTTCCCCCATGGCTGCATTGGCATGACAACAGAAACCACGGGCCACAAAAGGAGACCGACCGACAAAGGAAGACAAGTGTTTAATGCTGGAGCCATCTGCCAATTCTCCTAAGGATCTTTTCAAGAAGTGAGTGAAGCTAAAGGAGGAGGCGAGAAGGGAATCTGCAGGGGAGGGCAGAAAAATCATTCACGGGAGACGCGATTGCAATATGAAAAGGACCAAAGAAGGTTTGGAGCTAGGACAGATGAATGAACGGAATCCACCTAAATAGACCCACAGCACCCTCTCCAATGGGGCTTTTGTCGGTTGCCTAGCATTGTAAATGTTATAGTCAGAATATGTTATTAAGGGAGGATTTAACATACACGGGCCACAAAAAACACCCTGCGGAGGGGTCTTCTGATTACCCACGTGGAAAGCCCAAGCCACCTGCCTTTGCAAAGACGACACTGGGTTTTCTTTCTTTAGGCAGCAAGATGTCCTAAATACAGTAGTTTAGCCATAATAAAGCATTTTCATGCCAACGCTGCACCCCCCACTTCTCCCAGAGACATTCTGCCAAATGTTAAGACCACCAACTCTGAAAATTATTTAAATGCACCAAAACAAAATACCTTCATGCCCTCGGGGGATTAAAAAAAAAAAAATGTGAGCCCAAAACATATTCCTCCATCAATATTAATAGAAAGAAAATAAAACCCTGAAACCGTGTGTGAGCGCCTTGGGGAGACTGAGGCATCAAAAGCAGTTCACCCTCCCTGAGACACCTATCTACCTCCTGGTTTTCAGAATTCTTGACGTCCTGAAGGTTAAACACGGCTTTCATCCACCTCTGCTGCTCCTAAAACATTATCAGTCCCTGAACGGCCTGTCATCTTCAGGGACTTTAGGTAACAGCCTCTTATTTCTGAACACAGCCTTACAGGTTATCTCCTGTAGAATTTGTAGTTGAAACACAAGTTAACGCTGGCTGGATTGGTAGGTGGGTTCTCAATGGGGATATTCAGGAGTTTGTTTGTTTTTAATTCCACCAATTTAAAATGCATGTGCCTCCGGGCGCCTGGGTGGCTCAGTCGGTTAAGCATCTGACTTCAGCTGAGGTCATGATCTGGTGATCCACTGGCCCTGTGCTGACAGCCTGGAGCCTGTCAGATTCTGTGTCTCCTTCTCTCTCTGCCCCTCCCCTGCTCACGCTCTGTCTCTCTCTCAAAAATAAATAAACATTAATTTTTTTTTTTTTTTTTTTTTTTTTTTTTTTTTTTTTTTTTTTTTTTTAATGCATGTGCTTTGCAAGGGATTCAGTGCTTAAGGGCTATCTGGTTGCTTCTTTGGTCAGACTCTCCACCTTAAGTTGTAGGATTTTTTTTTTAATTTTTTTAATGTTTATTCATTTTTGTGAGAGACAAACAGAGAGCGAGTCAGGGAAGAGCAGAGAGAGAGGGAGATGCAGAATCCAAAGCAGGCTCCGGGCTGTGAGGCTGTCAGCACAGAGCCCAACGTGGGGCTTGAACCCACCAACCATGAGCTCATGACCTGGGCTGAGGTCGGGGGCTCAACCGACTGAGCCACCCAGGTGCCCCAAGCTGGAGGATTTATAAGATGCCCCTCAACAGAATCCTCAGAGATGCAGCTATAAACCTGGCGCCCACTTAAAAAAACTAATGTTGCAAAGTTGTGGCATTAGTTTCGTAATGTTGAAAGAGTATCTTTCAAAGCCTCACTCCCCAGAAATACGTAGGAGAGACTCCTAGCCTCCGCAACCTGCAACCTCAGCACGGACAAGAGGGGCCCCTCCCTCCCTCCCTCCTCAGCCAGCCGGGGGACAGGGTCAGCCAGAGGAGGCTGCCCAACGAATGGGGTTTAAATCCAGCCTGATGCACAAGTCAGCCACAGGCCAGGCTGCAAGAGTGACCCGTGGCAGCCTACAGGGGGCAGCCTGAGTCCCTCCAGGCCCCGGGCACACGTTGGCCTCCCGGGTGCCAGCAGCCGAGTGACTGTCCCGCCATGCGGTGTCCACACACCCGCCGGCCCCTGGCCTTGACCTCTGCTCCCTGACTGTCCGCGGCCCTGGGGGAGCCAGGAGGCTGACCTCTGGCTGTGAGCCGGCTGAAGATCTGGCAGTTGACTTCTCTGTCGCGTACATAACATCGGATCTCCTCCACCGCCTCTCGGATGACAGTGACGGCCAGCACGAAGCCCTGCAGAGACAGGGGAGAGAGGGTGAGCCCCGCGGAAAGTGACTTCCCTCTCCTGGTGCTGGGGACAGACAAGGCCAGAGGCCACACGGGACAGCAGCAGGGCGGGTCCTGCCAACCGCCCCAAATGCACCTGCCCCGGCAAGCCCACTTCTCTGACTCCTTCCTCCACACATACCCTGGGGAAACACTGGCTGACGCACACAGACGGGAGCATCCCTACCCACCACCACGGCAGGGTTTCTAAGAGTCAAGAAGGTGGTCGGTCCACAGGCAGTGGCCGAGCGATGGTACCTGGTGACATCTGTACCTCATCCAGCGGACGTTACTGGAGGGGTGTCACGGCCCCACAACAACCCTGCTCTTACCACTGCGGACATGAGGGCTCTGAGGCACAGAGAGGTTGAGTAATCTTGCCAAGGACACAAAGCTCCTAAGTGACAGGCAGGACACTGGCTCCGGAGTCCTTGCCCTTAACAGCCACATCGTTCAGTGTCCAGAGAAACGTGGAAAGGAGATCAGCCAACAACACAGAGCACACCCGGCCCAGTTAAGAAGAGTGAGAGCCATCACTTTTGCACTGACCTCCCAAGTAGGGACATCAACTCTTCGCCACATACAATGTAACCCCGTGCATACAAGCACCAACCGCAATGACCACAGTCTGCAAAGAGTTTCCAATTTCCTTAACCAGTGGCTAGATTCCTACGCAAGGAAAAGACGGGAGGGAGAGGGAAGGGCCAAAGGGGACTCCAGTCTTCTCTGTAACGCTTTCAATCCTTCTAAAGAAAACACATTGAGGGACGAGCACTGGGTGTTGTATGGAAACCAATTTGATAATAAATTTCATATATTGAAAAAAAAAAAAAAGAAAACACATCGAAGTATTGATTGCATAAATAGCAGCTAATAAAAAGAACACTGAAACTGCCCGACCTTTCCCGGGTCAGGTACCTCAACTCATACAAAATTTGGCGGGGGCTGGGGTGTGAGTCAGCCGTAACAGGAAACCTATTTCCATCCAGATTCCTCCTCTTGTGTCAATAAAGGCAAGAGCATTCGTTCATTTTTCTTACAAAATACCCTTGTCATCTCTCCTTTTCAAGCCTTTTTTTTTTTTTTTCTTTAATACAGAGAGCACCATCGCCCTGAAGGTTAGCAGCCGTGATTCTTTGGGGATTTCATTTTTATATTGTTTATCCTGTGAAATAGATGAACTTCCATTCAAAGGACTTTAAATCTCTTAGGTAAATCTAGCCAGAGATGCGCTGCTTTGTGGGACTTCTCCAAGGGCTCGTTTGTCTTTCCAATCAAAGGATTGCTCCTGTTTCCAATCCAGATGCAGCCAGAGCAAGACTGGGACATTCCAGAATGAGAGCTCCAGAGCCGGAGGTGAGAGGAAGCCTGTGGTGGCAGGGCACAGACCCAGTCTGCAGAACGGGCACCCCTCCCACGCCGCCGGGTCGTTGTTCCGGGCCAGAACCCAGGTGTTTGCTGTTTGTTTTTGCAAACGTTCCCGTTCCTATCCCTTGCTGCTGCGTGGGCCTAGCGAAATCCCCCTGATGTTAATGGCAAGTGTGCACACATACAAAGACAGGAGCCGTGACCTCCCTGCTGCAAATAAACACCGCCTCCTAAGTTATCCCATCTACTCCCCCTGCCCTGCCCCCCGCCCCAACACACAGTTCCCATTAAACCCAAAGGACCTGCCATCCCTTAGGCTAGAAAATGCTTTTGCTCAGAGATGCAAATGTCGTCCAGAAATAAATTCCAACCATCCAACTTCAGAGGTCCTTAAGATCCACGGATATTTAGAAAGAGGCTTTAACAGGGAGGGCTGGGATTGTCTGAGCTCGGAAAGGGACTCAGAGGCAGTGACAGTGCCCAGACAGGCCATTCTGAAAGTGTTAAGCCTCCTTTTGTAAAGTCGCACATCAAAAATAGATTTCCTGAAGCAAAACCAATCTATGAGCTAGAAATCAGAAAAGCAGTGCCCTCTGGTTCAGGAGGGATTGACTGGAAAGGAGCACTCGGGGACTAGGGTGGTGGAAATGCTCTGTATTTTGACCGAGGTGGTGTTTCCAGGTGTTGACAAATGTCAACGTATTATCTATGTATTTCATGGTACACAGATTATATCTCAGTAACGAAAAAATCTAGCTCTTCATACAAACAATTTTAGGGATCATTTCAGCTACCTATTGAGGAATTTCTCCCTCTAACATATCAGTACCAAGAAAAAGGTTATCAAAAGCTAAACCTTGGGGCGCCTGGGTGGCTCAGTCGGTTGAGCGTCCGACTTCGCTCAGGTCACGATCTCACAGTCCGTGAGTTCGAGCCCCGCATCAGGCTCTGTGCTGACAGCTCGGAGCCTGGACCCTGTTTCAGATTCTGTGTCTCCCTCTCTCTCTGGCCCTCCCCCCGTTCATGCTCTGTCTCTCTCTGTCTCAAAAATAAATAAATGTTAAAAAAAAAAAATTTAAAAAAAAAAAAAAAAAGCTAAACCTTAATCCAGACAAGGAACAATGACACCAGTGCCAGAAATTTAAAATTCAAATGAGAGTATTTCCTGAGAATTTCCTGTCCATTGGGAGCAAAAGGAGGCAATTTATTTGCAGGGCTTCCTTTTAATCCTCCCAATGAGCCAAGCAAGTAGACACGATCACGCCTGTTTTGCAGATGAGAAAACTGAGGTTCAAATGACACAACTTCCCAACGTGTAGCCAGGGACCACACCGCAGCCCTCACTCAGCCCTTATCCATAGCTGGCTCTGAAACGAGAGGCCTTTCAGGGTGGTCGGAGACATTTCAAAATGCGTTCTGGTCAAGAACCAGAAAGCGATTCTGCGCACAAAAATCTAGGGGACATCAGCTCTTGTCCCCTAGAAACATGCCATCCACTTCGTCTCTCTTTGACCCCCAAACCTTCTTCTCTGTAGCCCCTGGGAAGAGGCAGGACGGTAAGACCAACATCCTAAACCTTCACAGTGAAAATGGGGCTGTAAGAGAGACCCAGATGCGGAGTCGAAAATGTCAGGACCGCCAGCGGCAGCTGTGACCCTGCCTGCTTCCCACCTGCGGCCACCGTTCCAGGGAAAGCGGGCGGGGGGGGGGGGGGGGGGGGGGGGGGGGTCCAGGAGGAGGCGGAGGCCACTCTGACTGCATGCACGGAAGGTCAGGCTTCTGGGAACTCCTGGCATCATTTCAGCAAGGCGATGTGGGCAGGAGCTGGGGAATGGGGGTGGGGAGGGGCACCCCAGTGCTGGCTACTTGCTCCCGCCCACCTGGACTGGACCAGAGGGAAATTTTCACTGGGGCGATTTCTGTGTTTCTTGAATCATGTGAACATCTTACCTTTCAAATAACCACACTTTTAAAAGGCATCCCGGAAAAGGCAAGGTGATAAGTTACATTTTGTATACATTAGAGACTAACTTTTTTTACACAAGTAACTTAGGGTTTGACTCTAGATAGGTATGTAGTTAGCAGCTGTGGAACTAAAAACCTCCAATGACGTTGGGGTATTTCACATAAAACTCCAAAGCTTCTAACTCTTGGGCCTGGCAACTCCAGGACCACATTCGCACCTGCTGGAACGGAGCGGACCCTTCCGTTCTGCATGGGACGTGAGCTCCCCGGTTCTCCCGAGGCCTGCTTGTGTCAGCCGGGCCTCTGAGTCTGCAGTGTTCGTGGGTGAGAACGCAACGCGCCGACAGGAATGTTTGTTACGCGAGGCAAGGATGTGTGACAAAAGCCTTCTCCCGCTCCCAGCGTCCTAACTCACCCACAAATGACTCAGGTCGGGGGAGAACTGTTTGCACATCCCCAAAGCACCTTTGCTATTCGTGTGGAAAAACCCAACCCCCTCTCCCTTCTCTGGGCTTGAGCTGCCGGCCTAACCTGTCTGATGACACGGCACTCGCGGTTTATGGCCACCCGGCCACTCACGGGTCTCTTAGCAACTGGCTCCCTACACCGTCCGTGTCAGTGCACCAAATCCTTATCCTCTCCCACCTGCCACCATAAATAAATACATAAATAAAGCCCCACTTCATGTGAAATACACAGCTTCTACCTGGATAGAAAGAGATGTCACTTCCACCCTCTCCACACCCCGGTCACGCTGGGCTTCCTTCTGTTCTTCAAATGCTCTGGGCAAATGCCTACCGCAGGGCCTTTGCACTGCTGCTCTCTGTACCTGGGATACTCCCGCCTTCCTATTCAGCCCATCCCCTCCTCGAGATGTTTTCCATGGCCACACTGGCCAAGGCTGCCCCTCTACATCCCCCACCCCCACCTCATCCATTCAACAAATATTAAATGGGCCTGGGATAGCCTATCTGGCCCGTGGCCTTATTCTTAGAACCTCTGCAGGACTTTTCACAATTTGAAATGTTTACTGTCTGTCTCCTCTGAAAACCAACTGGACAGGGGCAGGAATTTTTATGTTTCATTCACCGCTATGTCCCCAGCACATAGCAGAGGCCCCCTCCCCCCCACCCGGCACACAGTCGCTACTCGATAACCATTTGCCCAAAGGCGGCAAGGGAGGGAATGGAGGGGCCTTCTGGTCAGTTGTCTCACTTCAGACACAAAGCGCAAAACGTGGTACTTTTCAAACCCTCCTGCTGGCAGACTCTACAGGGACAGAAAACAGGATCTCAGAAAACAATTCAAATAGCACAACCCACAAAGATGGAAGCCTTGTCCTTCTGGCCTGACACTGCATCCCCAGAGTCTAGAAACAGGCGAGACAGGCCGTAAGCATGAAATGCACAGTTGCTGAAAAAACTGACTGACTGGCTGAAGGACAGAACGAATGAAGGGCCCGGCCTTTACCACTTCACCAGTCCGGCCCCAGTGGTGTACAAAATGCAGCCCCACCATTAAAATCCTGGGGGGGCTTGGGGCGCCTGGGGGGTTTCATGTCAGGTGGAGTCAGTCCGGACTCTCGGCTCAGGTCAAGATCTCGCTGTCTTGGTCTGAGCTCCCCCGCTCTGGGCTGACAGCTTGGAGCCTGGAGCCTGTTTCGGATTCTGTGCCTCCCTCTCTCTCTGCCCCTCCCGCCCTATGCTGTGTCTCTCTGTCTCTCTCTCTCTCTCAAAAATAAACATTAAAAAAAATTTTTTTAGGGGTGCCTGGGTGGCTCAGTCAGTTGGGTGTCCGACTTTGGCTCAGGTCATGATCTCACATGGTTCAAGTTCCCATGTCAGGCTCTGTAGCCAGAGCCTTGGAGCCTGTTTTCGATTCCTGTAAGGTTCTCCCCTCTGCCTCCCCTCCCACTTGTGCACGCGCTCTCTCTCTCTCTCTCAAAAATAAATAAACGTTAAAATTTTTTTTTTAATTAAAAAATATAGGGGCTTGGGCTACTAGTCGGTGTTGTTGCTGATCTCAACAGGTCATGACACCGCTGTTCGAGTTCGAAGTTCTCACAGGGGCTCTGTGCTGACAGCAGCTCAAAGCTTGAAGCCTGCTTCGGATTCTGTGTCTCCTCACCCCTCCCCTCACTCATGCTCTGTCTCCCTCTCCTTCAAAAAAATAAATAAACACATTAAAAAAAATGGAATCCTGGGGGGAGGCTGACTGTCCTGCCGCCAGAAAGGCTACAGATGCCCGGGTGAGAGAGACAAAGAAGCTGCCTGTTCCCAAAACTCACTCAATGCAAGGTCAACAACAAACCACTTATCACCAGCTGGACCCAGTAGGTGTAGAGTGCAAGTCTCATTTCAGGAACAAACTGAGCAGGCAAGAAATAGAGGCTGAAAAATACTTGAACTGGTTGAACAACACCTGCAATCCACAAGACAGAGGAGAGAGGGAGACAGTCACAATGCTCGAAAGTGATGCACCTGGGCGGGGGGGTCGAACCGAGATTAACAGTTGAGAGCTGCCCGCAGATCTACGAACTCCCATGATGCTCTTTATCGAGTTTCAACGCTTCCCATGTGATGAGGAAAAACAAGGGGTAATCAAAACAGATTCTAAAAGTCAAAAAAAAAATGAAGAAGCAAACAATGATACGACGGAAATTATTAACACCAAATTAAGATACAGGGTGCCTCTATCGGGAGGCATGCCGGGGCTTCCACTCTATCTGTGAATGTGTTGTTTAAAACTGCTTTGTTGGCTTGGGTGGCGCTTAGGCCTGTTAAGCCGTCCTGGACTTCAGCCAGGTCACGATCCGCTGTCCTGCGTGAGTTCGAGCCCCTCCCTGCTGTTGGCTCTGGCTGATGGCTCAGAGCCTGAGCCTGTTTCCCATTCTGTGTCTCCCTTTCTCTCTCTGCCCCCCGCTCATGCTCTGTCTCTGTCCCAAAATAAATAAACGCGAAAAAAAAAACTGTTTTGTAAGTACAGGAGGTTGCTCAAAAATGCTCAGAAGAGGTTTTAGTGGGAAATGTCTTTACTGATCACAGCCCAGGTAACCCTCTCCTCATCTCCACGATATGATCTCAACACTATAAAATAGAGCCGGAATCCTGTCCTGTGTGGAGGCGGGTTGTGGGGGAGTTCTGGCTGGCTCCCCAAGTGCCCTGGGAGGTGGGGGGGGGGTGGGGAGTCTGGCACCACACTAACACGCCTGCCTGGGGCGCTTGAGCTGAAATGATGTGTCTCTTGGAGGCTGAGGTGCAGTTGTTTCATTTTCAGCCGTCCTCACCACTTGCTCAGCTTCATGGAGAGATACTCACTGAACTCCAGACGGGGTGTAATGCTAACACGTGAAGAGAGGTGTACGTCAAGCAAATTCAGAATTTCCATGAAGGAGAAATAAAATTTTTCTTGATTTAAGATGCTGACATTTGGGGGGGTGGGGGGAGATGTGGGCTGAATGAAGCAGTGAAGGCAGTCAGAGTTGCCCTTAAAAAAACATTCAAATTGACCGTAAGCCACAGCATTACACGTTTGTGTTTCTGGAACCTCTCTCAATAAATCAAACACTCATTTTTTTTTTTTCTTTCCCCTTCCAGCACTGAAACTGATCACTGCTGCTGCTTCTAAAGTCAGCCAGTGTGTGTCGGGTAAAAATAGGCATTCAATTCAAGCACATGTTGGGAGGCGGGGGAAGGTCTGTAGAGCTGAAATCCACAGATTGGCCTGAGCTAATGTGGAAATGCTAGCACCAGGACTCCAGAGCACAAAATATTAAGTAAGCACATCCAAAATATTCATTAGCAAAAATGCCAACAGCAATTCCTTCTGGATGGTAGGATTAAAACTTACCTTTAAAAAAAAAAAAAATCTCCATACTTGTATCTCCTGACTTTACTATACTGAATATGCGTTTCATGATGACAGAAGGGATACTTTAGGCAATGATGGGATTTTGGTTTTTGTAGATTTTTTTTTGGTATTTTGGTTACAATGCTGGGTCCCCAAAATATCTTTTTCACTCTTGCCCCTAACACACCAACTAAATGTGACGTTATTCTAATGGATCAGGTGGCGTCTCAAAGCAGAAATCTCAGAAGGCAGCCCACCCCCCCTGCTAGGTACTCAGGACACGGGAGATGGACAGGCAGCGGCGAAGGCAGCCTGGAAAAGACCCAGGTTATCCGGCCACAGGGACGTTTGTCTTTTTTCTCTTTTTAAAAAATATTTATTTATTTTTGCGAGACAGGAAGAGTGTGAGCGGGGAAGGGGCAAGAGAGAGAGAGAGAAAGAATCCCAAGCAGACTCCCTGCTGTCAGACTCGGGTCTCAAACTCACCAACCGTGAGATCATGGCCTGAGCCAAAACCAAGAGTTGGCCGCCTACCCGACTGAGCCACCCAGGTACCCCGGGGACCTCGATCTTCTAAAACCCGGTACCACCACCCACATCCGGTGTGAGAAGAAAATAAAGGCTGTGGCCTCTGCCCGTACGCACCCCTGGAAGAAAGGTGAAGACATTGTACTTCTGATTGTTGATGACATTCCGAGGGTACCTCTGGTCCCTCTTCTCGGGGTGCCCCAACCACACAGTGCGGGGCCTGGGCTCCCCTCCGCCGCAGCATCTCAGCCACTCACAGCACCTGTGGGAAAGACACAGCCACACCGTCAAGGCCACGCCCACACCTGTCCACTTCTCTCCAAACGTGTTCCTCTAGAGCAACTTTACTGGGTCAGGACAACGGCCACGAATGGGACTTCATCATCATGAGAGGGGAAAACAGAGCCAAGGCTTCTAAGAAGCGGTGGTACAAAATACGCTTTGTCCGCAAGCCCAGATTACTTACGTCATCAAAGTGTAAGATTCATTTTTAAAAGGAGATTTAAGTTAAAAAGTAAATACAGAGCAACACGTTACCTCTACTTTACATTTTGCTGATGAGAGAGGAGAACCCACAGCAGTTACAATACAGCACCCACGGAGAACCCCATTCAGATTTCTACCTCAATCTGTGTCTCTCAAATCGCAATTCTAATCACCCCCCAAAATGTCTATTTGCTTAAAAATAAGCAAAATAAAAAGTAAAGCAACCAAGTGCGCCAAGATGTGAGAAGCCACAGAGTCCGGCCTCGAACGACTTCCGTCTTGCTAGAAAACCTGGTGTCTTTCCAGCACGCTGCCCGGATCCACCAAGATGACCAGGTAAAGGAGGGGAAGAATCTCTCCACACCCGGATCTCCTTTGAGCCACAGCCCAGAGGAGCCAGCCAGGAAGACACTGGCTCGGGGCCCGGTGTCACCCGGAGCCAGGCCGGCGTGCCCACTGTGGGCCGACTGAGCCCCCAGCTGCCCGGGCTGCCCTGCGAGGTGGGCACATTCGTGCACTTGCTCCCAGGCGGCCCGCACAAGGCAGGGCAATCCACGTCCGGGGGAACGAAGCCACTCTTGAGAACACCTGTCCTTCCGGAGAGCCCAAACACAAGGCAGAAACCCCAGCCCTGCCGGCCCCCCCACCACGTTGCCAAGCGAAGTGAAACCAAGCAGACAGGGAAATGATGACTTATGTAATTGCAGGTCCACCACGGTCCTCCCTTCTTCCCATCCTCCCACGCGCCAGGCAGGCCCTGGTGGGGTGCTGGGGTACAGAGCGGAGCAGACTCAGCCCCCTGGTCATCAGCAAGCTGCCTGTCCAGATGCTCAAAATTCCCATGACGAAACACAATGCTCTTCCTTAAAAATAGGATCTTCGGGGGCACCTGGGTGGCCCAGTCGGTTAAGCATCTGACTTTGGCTCAGGTCATGATTTCCCAGTTCGTGAGTTCAAGCCCGGCATCAGACTCTGTGCTGACAGCTTGGAGCCTGGAGCCTGCTTCTGCTTCTGTGTCTCGCTCTCTCTCTCTGCCCCCTACCTTACTCGCACTCTGTCACTCTGTCACTCTCTCTCTCTCAAAAATAAACAGTTAACAAAAAATCAAAGAAATACAACTAGCATCTTCATTCCAGTAAATCGGTGCTCGAGTGGGGCATATGTGATCAGGACAGGTTTTACTCCTAGTAACTCATCTGTGTTGGCCCTGTTCTCGGTTGTCCAAAGGCCAGAGACACACGCAGGCCTGGACCAGAGGGACCCAAACCGCCGCTGTCTGTGTATAAGCAGCACCTGTGCTGGCCATCGGTGGACACTCGCTAAGTGCACACTGAAGGCAGGAAGCAGGAAGGAGAGAGGGGGAATCACTTGACGGGGAGCAGACCTCTGGGTTAGTGGAAACCGCAGTCATGACTGACCCCTCCGTGATGTGAGCCAGCACCCCTCTCCCCATCCTGTAATAATCCTGTAACGATGGCTCCCGCAGTTGACGGTTTCTAAGCGAAAGCTAGAGAATGACCTTAACAAAACCATCAGGTCGGCTGTTCACATGAGTTTTGTCTGTTTTGTTTTAGCAGAACGCTCTGCACAGCAAGCTGCCAGGTCGGGCCGCTCGTCACGTAAGCCGCAGACGTGTGCATGTGCACAAAGTAGCAGGAGGGTCGTCGCAGGATGCATTGTGGTGGCAAAAGATGGGAGAGGGGCTCGGTGTGGTTCATTCTCTGTGAAATTCAGAACAGTAAGCATTTATCGAGTGTCCCGCTGGAACGAAGGACAATTTGGTCCGGGAACCGATGTTGGAGCAGCATCTTTGCTCCTTTCTCACAGCCCCACGACAAAACAGGGGTGAACGTTCGGCACAGGCTAAAATAAAAACTTTGTGGGAGTGCAAGCTGGTGCAGTCACTCTGGAAAGCAGTATGGAGGTTCCTCAAAAAACTAAAAACAGAACTACCCTAGACCCACCAATCGCACGACTAGGCATTTCTCCACGGGATACAGGTGTGTTGTTTCGAAGGGACACACGCACCCCCATGTTTATAGCAGCACCATCAACAATGGCCAAAGTATGGAAAGAGCCCAAATATCCACCAATGGATGAATGGATAAAGAAGATGTGATGTATATCTATATCTATATATCTATATCTATCTATCCATACACACACAATGGAGTATTACTCGGCAATCAAAAAGAATGCGATCTTGCCATATGCAACTATGTGGATGGAACTGGAGGGTATTATGCTAAGTGAAATTAGTCAGAGAGACAAAAGTCATATCACTTCACTCACATGAGGACTTTAAGAGACAAAACAGATGAACAGAAGGGAAGGGAAGCAGAAATAATATGAAAACAGGGAGGGGGACAAAACAGAAGAGACTCATAAACATGGAGAACAAACTGAGGGTTACTGGAGGGGGTGTGGGAGGGGGGATGGGTGAAATGGGGAAGAGGCACTAAGGAATCTACTCCTGAAATCACTGTTGCACTATATATGCTAACTAATTTGGATGTAAATTTAATAAACAAACAAATAAATAAATAAAAGCAAAACCAAAAACAAAACAAAAAACTTTGTGTCACCTGAACCAAGCACAGTTAGCCCCGAGGCCATGTCATTTAGCCAACTTGACCTCATTTATTCACTTTCACCTGCACTGGACATAACCCGCACACGTTCAATACACGATCAACCTGACTTTCAGGTCAATAGCATTTACTGGACACGTACCAACAACAATAACATAAGACCAGCAATCACTGCTTCTCTTTGGTCCCCTGCTCATTCACCTACTTACTCTGTCTTGTGTGTTGGGCGTGCTGGGCCCTCACCTGGACACTGGGCATTCAGGAGTGAACAAAACAGACGGCTCTTCCCCCTCTGGAGCTTATTCTCTAGTGGAGGCAGGGAGACAGGGTACAACCACCCAAATTAAATAAGGCCTGGGCAAGCAGGGTGGGGGGGGTGGAGGCATGTGGCTCAGGGAGACTGGATGGTCAGGGAGGCTGGTGTGACAGCTGAGCCGGGAGACAAGCAGCAGCTGCATGCAACTGTACAAAGGAAGCACAATCTGGACAAACTGGAACGGAAACCCAAGATCCAGAGGTGGGAGGCAGCCTGGTGCACGTGCTCATGGAAAGACTGGCGTGGCTAGAATACTCCAACCGCAGGGGAGCAGGGCAGAGGAGGAAGGGGCAGCCAGAAGACACGGGGCCTTGTCTGGGGCAGGTAGTCTGGAGTCTACTCCATGCACAGCGGGGATCACTGAGGGTCACCGGCAGGGGCTGGCCTGATCCGACTGACATTATTAAACGGTCTTGTCTGCCTGCTGAGCAGAGAAGACCCTGCAGTGGGCAAGAGTAAGAACAGGTAATAGCTGTGAGGTTGTTTTTTGGGGTCATGATGTGTTTGAATATTGATTGGGGTGACGGTCACGCAACTCTGTGAATATACTTAAATCTGCTAATTGCACGCTTTCAATAGGTGAACTGCAGGGTACGTGAACCGTATCTTAATAAGGCTGTGTGTTTACCCCCAAAAAAGGGGAAACGGGGACTGTTTAGCAAGCTACTGCCATCATCCAGGCAAGCAGAGACAGCCGTCCAGACTAGAGTGGGGCAAGCGGGTACAGAGTTCCAAAATGTTGCAGATGTAGAAATGCACCCTCTT